ACTGTTACAATAGTACAAAAGATTTCATGAATACATTGTTTTCTAGAACGTAGTGTTGCGTCAGCGAGGTCACGTGACTAGTATCACGCCACGTCCTTCTCGAACCTTCGTGAATTATCGGGAGACTACTAGATTGGGGGTAGTCTGGTATATATAAGATGGTCACAACGTGACGGGACGTTGTGTAATTGAACTGAGTATTGTCGAGCACGAGCACGTGAGACGTTCTAGTGTTTGTTATAGAGCGACTGTTGAAATTAAGTGTATCGGTAAAGTTGTATTCGGAAAGAATAAACCAGTTTTATTTAAGAAAGGACTTGTGTCGCTAAAGTTTCGTTGGAACGAATTTACGGAAAATTAACAAACGAACGTAGACATAACAGCAGTATTTTTCCAGATAATGTCCATGGGTATTTCTTAAATGACAAATGTGTGGAAGTGAACCATTGTTTTGGCTAATATTTACCAGCGTTTTAAAAAGCAAATAGTTACTCTCTCTCTCTCTCTAACGAAGTCTGTATAATTTCTAAATAGGGAATCCAAAATAGGCCTAAGATGTAAGGTTTCCTGACTAATCTGTACAGAAGATCCGTACGATTTCTAAATAGGCAACCCAAAATAGGCCTAAGATATAAGATTTCTTGGCTAATCTGTACAGAAGATCCGTACGATTTCTAAATAGGCAACCCAAAATAGGCCTAAGATGTAAGGTTTCTTGGCTAATCTGTACAAAAGATCTGTACAATTTCTAAAGAGGCAATACAAAATAAGCCTGAGATGTAAAGTGTCTTGGCTAATCTGTACAAAAGATCTGTACAATTTCTAGAGGCAATACAAAATAAGCCTGAGATGTAAGGTTTCTTCGCTATATTTATTTGCTTGTTAGGCATAAAAATTCGCAGAAAGAAGTGATAGGTCATTATAATGTATTTTCTCCAACTAAAATATGTTACAAATTACTAGGAGTCTAGCTCGTGAAAATAGCTTGTGTGGTGTCTGTATATTGGCAAGAGTGAAATTCTTTGCCATAAAAATTATACTGAAAACAAATTCGCATTTCTGTGTTGCCATGCGCAATCCATTTGCTTGCGGGCCAGTATTTACATCAACATCATTGATTACAGGGGGAGTATTAACGGTTTCCAGTACCTGCTTCCAGCCAGCTTTAAATGTTTCAACGCAGCGCCATCATCTGGTGTCTGACAGTGCCTTAAGTGTTAATATTTGTTTCGTTCCTGTTGTTCTTTCCGGTTATATTCTCTAGTATATTGCGTCGGTTATCCTAGACATTACAACATTGTACAATTACTGAAGAGATAATTGCATTACATACAACAAAAGCGTTTCCACTTCTGGATTGTCAGTCGAGCACACCATTATAATGATAATAATTTTTTGCTATATTTTTTTTTCACAAAGTAAATTTTTCGGTGTGAAATTCAAGTAACTGTCCTGAGGTAGTGTTAAGTATGATATTTTTATATAGACAACTATTCTGTGGTAGTGCTAAGTATGATATTTTTATATAGACAACTGTTCTGTGGTAGTGCTAAGTATGATATTTTTATATAGACAACTGTTCTGTGGTAGTGTTAAGTATGATATTTTTATATAGACAACTGTTCTGTGGTAGTGTTAA